AATGCATGCTGGAGAGACAAGAGGGCAAGAAATCATCCCTGAGCTCCAGACGACCTTCACAAATCACCTGAGTGGCCCGACTGAAGCTATAACTCAGTGTAACAACACTCACCGCAGCCATGACCGTGACCCTTCAGGGAGCTCTTCCTCCCCAGCTGTAGTGTGAGCAACCACACGATGGGGTTTGGGTTTATGCTGGTCAGCAGCCGGACACAAACATTCTGCCAGGGTATAAGCCAGTGGTGGTGCACCATGAAACCACAAGGGATACGGTCAACACCATGCATGCAGCCAGGAAGAGGTGGGTGTGATGCTTCCACTAGTACCTTGTTAGAATAATATCTCTCACTCATGAGGTGATTCCTACTGGAGACCTGCTCCAATATTCTGCACTGCAGCTCTTTTCTACTCATTCTGACAGATGACTTGATGTTCTCTGCATTTTTAGAAGGTTTTAGTTAGGGAAGGTTATCACATACTTTCTGATTGAAAGTAGAAGGTGCTTCTTTCAAATTTGTATACAGATGTTTTATTTTCATCAGAAGCATGAGAAAGAAATTGGTCAACTCTGATTCTGTGGATGTGCCAACCAGTGATGTGGCATTCCTTCCACGTTTTTGTTTTTAAAGTTTTTCTACATGTGCACATCTCAGCACAAATTCACAGCTTTAGTTTCATTAATGACAAGAGCATATCCCTGCAATAATAAAGCAAATGTTAAAAAGTTGTTAGTGTCCTCTGTTTACAGATGTGGCCAGTTGCTAATGTAGATGTGAAAGACTTTTTTGTGCAAAAATTAAAAAATATTAGCATGAAATAAAATGTGGATCACAGTTTCATCAAATATTCTCCTGTTTCACCCTGATGTTATGACTGAGCGCCCCCTACTGGTAGAAACACGTAAGAGCCAAGTGGCACTAGGAATAAACACATTTGTGATTAATAGTATACTTTATTTTTGTCAAATAAATGTGCATGTATGTATTTCCACATAATGTTTAAATAAGTATAATACAGTGGTAAATTAAAGAATGTTTAATTAATCACACTTATTTACTTATGTACACAAGTTTAGGCCTATAATGAGACAAGGAGGCTAAAAACTGCCAGGATTAAATATTCAATTTCCCCTTTGGCTAAATAAGCAGTTAGGAATGTTGTTTTCCTCAGGAGTCATGCTCTGGGGTTGGGTCTAAGGGTCTCTGTTTTTACAGTAATAGACACCAGCTATTCTTTATTCTAGCCTTATGTATTTCCTCCTACGTAATGCCAAACCCCTCTTATGATTAGTTAAGAGATATAAATCTTTGAAATCTGCAAGACTATTATTTCTCCTTTAGGGCCCATAATTAACATGACAATGAAAAAGAGTTTTATTGTCATGTTATAATGGTATAATCAGGTCATTTTGGATAAATTGTGTTTTTTCACCATTCTACAATAAAATCCCTTTAATACTGATAAAACAGTCCAATCAGATAGCACTGGTTTATTGGAGGAATTATGGTCATTTTAATGGGAACAGTTCAATCACATGGTTTCTGGTGAGACCTCTAGTTTAAACATTGTCATCAATGGAGATGTTGTTATTGCTGGGAACTGTATTTCAGCACGACACACTGTTGCCCCCTAATGCTGAGTCATCAGTATGATAGACGGACAGAAAAATGCATAGCTTTATGTTCTCCTTCTTAGACAGTTGAACTGAGGTCCGCACAAACTCCTCACCTGCCAAGAGAATAGGCTTTTATAATGAGGAGGCCAAAGGCAAGAGGTCACCACCTGCTGGCAGTAACAGGAGCAACATATCTGACCTTAGGAACAGAAAAACTCATTTAAAATGACCAAAACCAAATCAAAGAAAGACCCCAGAGCGACAGTAACCTCAGTCTGTGAGCGTGTGGCTGCCAGGCAGTGACTCAGTCCTGGCGCACCTTTTGCATCCCAGCGGGAGGCACTGACCTGTTGCCACGGTGATGGCTGAGCTCAGGGAGCGTGGTTGGCTCCGAGGACGCCTTGGCCATTTGAGGACGGCGTCTCCTGGGACAAAATATGCCAGTAGAGACAGAGCAGAGGAGAAGGAGCTGGAGTCTGTCAGTGTGTGGCTGTGCAGTAGGTGCATGGATGGATTACTGAACAGGCCTGAGCTTCTGTTTGAAGTGACTATTAACATTTCTTATTGAAAATTTAATCAAATGGCTTGAAAGAGACACAAAAACAATCACAAAGAAGCACAAAATGACTGCAAATAGAGGCAGCATGAGATGCTCAGAGACCACAGATAAAAATACTACAATACTGCTATGTCACAGTAAAGAGGTACTGAAAGACTAAATATGAGATATGAGCACTGTAGAACCTTTGGGCTGGTAATACATTAAAGTTACTATAAGAAATAATGACAAAAATAACAAAACCTACTGTCAGTTGTCTTTCAACTCCTTTTTTATAAATAAGACATATTGAGTAGTCAGAATATTTTACTAAAGATATATGTGATATAAAAAAAAATGTGTGTGTCATGAGATAATAATCAAAACTTTGACTTCCAAAGTCAAAGATATAACAGGTCAACACATGTATTTTATGAGCCATAATTCTGAGAGCATAAGATAAAATGAAGTGATATGATTTAAACTGCGACTGTTGCCTTATCATCTCACAACTTTGAGTGGACACACAGTGAGCAGACAGAGCGAGAGACAAATGATTGATGATGCTCTCTCGCACGGCAGTGTGACTCTGGTTTCCAGCATCTTTGGTTGTTTGGCTGCACAGAGTTTCAGTGTCTGAAGCAAACAATGACACAGTCTGTAGTCATCTGTGTGAGGATTTATTGTCAAACAAAGACACAGTTTCTTGTGTAGTAGCGGCTCTGTTCTCGTTGCATGAGTGGATGGAGGTCAAAGGTCACAGAGGGCGCTGGAGGAAGTCATTTGGGGAACTTGGCACATTATGGAGAGCACTGGCATGCCTACTTTATCATAATGTCACATGAAAACCAGCAGGTGAAGGTTTGATTTTGCAACTCAAAGTGTAAAACCTCAGATCTTCTGTGTTGTGATGAACATTTAAAATCACTGCCAGTCACATGTTTGGCCGCACTTTTCTGTTCAGCTCAATGGAAAATGTGCCCAAACCTTTGACTGACACACAGCAAAACAAGACAAAATGGTTACTGCCAACTCATCACATGATACAAAAAAAACAGGTGTAAAAATACAGTTTGCACAGATAAATGTTTCATTATTATCTTCTTCAGTATTTTATAACACAGAGCATAGTCACCTGACCTCCACATTTTAACACATGACCAAAGGTCCTTCCACATCACAGACATCTCCAGGTAAAGATCAGGTCTACATGAATCACTAGAAGATTACAAACCCTTGAAGAAGTAGTAAAAACACAGTGTAACCTAAAACTGAGACCATTTCCAATGAGACCACTAGCCTTTACCTTTAACTGCAAATCACAAAAATCAGAGTAACAATAATGCCTGTTGCAAAGCCTTGACTTTGAAACTGCACACCTGTTGAGTAACCATGGAATAGGACTTATAGAAGTACAGTTCATGGAAAAACAAGAAAAAATAATACTGAAAATTGAACTATTCTGCACTAACAGTACAACAGTGGATAAACATTTAAATGAAAATGTGTCTGTCTTTTAAATTCTCACAAATAGTGTACATTTGTACAATATGGGAAGCTGAAGGTGCTGCCTATCAAACTGACAGGATCCTGCATATTTTGAGATTCCCAGAAGTTTGTGAAAACCTGGCACCGGGACGTTTCAGCTTCTGCCTGCTTGTCCGGAGCAGATGCAGTGTTTGTGAGCTGTCTCTGGGCTGCGGGGAGCACACGTCTCGCCAACTCCAGTAGAGAAAAGGCCGTCTTCATTAACATGCATGGCCAGCCGCTTCCTCTGAAACGAGCCTTTGTGGGCCAGCAGATGCCCAAACACAACGAGGAGAGGCAGATCTGGATCAAAGGGGAGCACAGAGAGATGCTGTATGATCCACGATGAACAGACAGAATTGTTTTACACCTGCTTGTTACATTTGGGTTAATGAACAGAACAAGGTCTTAAAACAGACACAGCTGTGGTTCAGACTCCTCCGGATAAAAATGCCTCCTTACCTCCTTACCTCCTTACCTTCTCTATGTGTTGTCAAGTCTTCATGCAGACATGCCTTCACTGACCGTGTTCACCAGCTTGCACTGGTGTGCTAGCATGCTAGAGATGGTTAATTACCACTAACACAACATGTAGCTAAGGCTGACAAGAATGTCATTCATTGGCTTGGATTGGTCACAAACCAAACAAGGAGCTACACCTCATGGTTGCACTAAAAGAAAAGTCAACAGGATTCATCCTCTGGGTAACATGAACATGTGTACAGAATTTCATGGCAATCCAGTGAACAGATGATGAGCTATTTCAGTCAGGAACAAAGTGGTGGACTGCACCAACATGGCTACCAGCAACAACACTTTTTAGAGAAGGGAAACTCTAGTGAAACCTGAAACAAACAGACACTATAACACATCCAGGAGGAAGAACGCCACATCTGAATCCTTTGGCTGCTTTTAACCCTCTTCATGTCAAACAGCCAAACTGATGTTAACACTGGTTGTTGCTCTTTCTTTGTCCCACTCTCTCTGTGCAAAAGACACTGCCTCTTCGCTGTCACAGGGAGAAATCTGAGTTAATGCACCTTTAATGTATTAGGGGAAAGATGGAAACAAATACAGCATCTTCCATGCAGCTACTGTCAGGTCCTCATTATGTCTACAAGTTATCACACCTGTAATCAGAGTATTTGGAGTGTTCACACGATCTGTAACAGCTATTTCTGCATTACACTCAGATTCATCTTTGTCAGAGTCAGACAATACCCTTCAGTGCTGAGAATGCAGAGCTGCAGTGGAGTGAGGGGAGGTGAACAGTCGGGATTGGGCAGCAGTGTGACTGACAGGCCGGCTGAGCGCTGCACTGCTGCCTCCACACCACCGCCCAGCGCAGGCTACAGTATAAAGCCTGCACCCCAGCTCAGCCTCTGCTTTCTGGATACACAGTTTCTGCCTGGACGCCAGTGGAGGTAAGTCAGGCTCTGCTCATGTAGGTACAGTTAGTGCCAAAGGTCTGATGCTGTTGTTAAGCACAGTGGATCCAGCAATATATTCAATAAATAATCAGTAGTGTCAGCTACTGCTTACACTCTGTATCTCAAGTTGTAATGCTACGCAGCAAGTACTATTAATTGTGTACTATACATTAAAATATATAAAAGAAGCCTAAAGTGCACTTTTTTTGCACTGTTATGCTGGTAAAACATATGTAGATGGAAAAAAGATGTTTTTCAAAATCTGATTTCTTTGTTTGTTTTGAGTATGATTTGATCTGGATTATATCATCATCATAGCAAACAGTAACTTAAATCTTAGTATATCAGAATTGTAAGGCTTTTTATGAGTGATATTTGTCTTTATGTGAGGCAGTAAATAATCTCCATAAGAAAACTTGACTCAGTTTGATGATGAGCTGCTTTTAAATGTCAAAGTCAACAGGAGATTTGACCTGCTCTGTCTCAAAATAGTCATTTAACTCTTTATGCATCTTTGACTTAATCATCCGATAAACACTGACAGTTTAAAGCACTAAAGAGTGAAACAACAACCGAGTCCCAAACTTTGCTGTCTTTCTTAGTTCTACTTATTTATTCTTGTGTTTTATTGAAGAGGTGAGAAGACGATGACTGACCTGGAGAGCTCGATGGCGACCATCATCGCCGTGTTTCGGAAGTATTCGGAGAGAGAGGGAGACAAACACAAACTGAAGAAGAACGAGCTGAAGGATCTGTTTCAGGACGAGCTGCCGGACCTGATGGCGGTGAGATAAAGATAAAGAAAGAAGAATGAAAAAAAAAAACACAAAGCAGCACTGTACTGTATTTAAATACAGGGGTTGAAGCATTTTCAGCACTTTACTTGTGTATTTATCTGCCAGTACTTTTGTACTTCTTCTGATGATACAAATCCAGGACTTGCAGTATTTTTACACCATGCTACTGCTAAAGCTCCTAAAGGAAAAGGCCTTCCACCACTTCACCAGTGCCTCAGCCAGTGTCCCAGTAAAAGTAGCAGTACTTTGGTGTAAAAATACTCTGTGACATTTAAAAGTCCTGCATTTACCTCATAAGTGTACTTGAGTCACTGCAGACCTGCGGAACCGAGCACTGTGAGTCAGCAGTTTGACCTGAGCTGCAGGAGTTTGACCCCAGGTCTGACGTGTCTTTGTCCTGATCTGAACCCATCTCCCTCTGTGCAGCATGTGAAAGACCAGGGGGCGCTGGACAGCCTGATGGAAAGCCTGGACACAGACGGCGACGCCGAGTGTGACTTCCAGGAGTTCATGACATTCGTCTCCATGGTCACCATCTGTTGCCATGAGTTTTTTGAGCACGAGGACGAGTAGGGAGGCAGCGACCAGGGACGAAGACAAAGGGGGAGCTAGAGTAATTTATAAAGGAGAAACCTAGCAACGCTGAACCTGTTGATGCCTCCAGAGCAGCGCAGGGTGGGAAAACACACCTCCAGCCATCAGCCAAGCGCGATCAGTGAGGTTTGGCTGGTGGCTGAGAAACACTTCAGTCCAATTTTACTCTAAAATCTTCAAAATGAGAATTGGGTTTTACCTAAAGTTGTTTCATTTCACACGACAACAAGATTTTTAGATGCTCCAGTTAACTGCAGAAATTGGCGAGGAAGTTTTTCTTCTGTACCTTCTACAACCAGTTATTCAATTCTAAAAGTCAAGCTGGTAAATGTAGAAACATTTCAGAGAAAAGCTGCTAAATTTGGAAACTGTCAATTAAGTCAAACACATTTAATGGGCTACTAAAATGGATTGTGAGGGTTCCTTTAGTCTAGCTTCCACTTTGGTACAAGAAACAACTATAAGTTGGAGTTATATTGTAAAATATACTGTTTGGATGTTCTGGCTGATTAGTTGTTTAGCTCTCTCCTTAGTTTTGTTTCTTGTTTAGAAGCTCTTTTTGGAAATAGGTGGTATCAGAGTCATAACACGTTCCAAATAGCTAGCTGGCTGCTAAACACTGGCATATACTGTAGTAGCTGCTGTTGCCTGCAGCCGAGTTTAGTTTCTCTCCCTGCTTCTGCTGCAGGTTTGATCCTGTTCGAGTTCATATTCAGCCATGTAGAAACTGTCAAACAATCTAAAAACATCTAGTTCCACTGTGTGTAACGTTTCCTGCAAAAAAAACAGTGAACAGAAAGAGTTTGTCTGATGATGTGCATTTTGAAATACTGTATGTGGCACTGGTTTGTTTGGATGTTGCAGAATTAAATGATCACTGTGTGACTCTGGACTCATGATGGGTAAGACTTGAACACCTCTAACACATGAAGTCACTAAACCTTCTTATTTCTGTTGTTTAACATGTCTCATGTCTATACTGGGCCGCTAAGGCGCCCCAGTCGATGACATAACCCTCAGCATCGAAGAAAATCAGATTTAAACTCTGAACTTCCAGGTCAGTTTTAACCTCTAAAAACTCTCTGGAAGGAAAGACCGTCTTCCTTAAATAAGTTCAGTGGCTTTCCTTTATTATTTTGGTGGCATAAGTCTATTATTGTAGTTGAAGCCTGGTGAAAGCCAAAGAAGTGCAGCATAAAACCCTGTTAATACTTTGATTTGCCTCATGATAGTTCATCCCTGTAACATCGGTATGAAGCCTAAATTATCCAAAATGCAACAGTGGATTAATTTCTCACCTGTTCCTCAGTTTTGTTGTGTTTGTTGTTCAGGCGACTCCTCTCCCTGCTGAGCTAATTAACAGGATGATTAGTCGCCTGTTTGAGAACAACAGAGCCCAAGGACTCAGGGTTTTTTGTAACTTATAATAAACAACATAAAATCACGTAGAATATTCAGTTCGATTTATTTCCATTTTTAGAAAAGTCATTCTGAATGACAAACGGCGATGACCATTTTTCTTGTCAACAGAATGTGTAAATACATATCCAGATCCAAACCCAGGGTGTCAAGAGGTCAGGGGCCCCTGGACCAGAGCCTCTGAACAAAGTGACTGTTAATGCTGCTTGTTCTAAAGTCGATCAAATGGCAACAAAAAGTTGCAAAACACCCACAGAGAAACGCTAAATGACCAGAGAGAGGCACAAAAATGACAAAGATGCCAAATGACTACCAGTAATAAGACTAACAATACACTTTATTTATATAGCGCCTCTCTGAAATAAAGACAAAAATAAAGCATGATTTAAAGAAGAATGAAGCCACAAATTTTGACAAAAATCACAAGAAGATATGTCTGTACAAATATGATTTCAGACGTGTCTTTAAAGGCAACACAGACTCCACTGAGCTGACTGCTTCAGGGAGGGTGTTCCAACATCTGGGGGCCCTGACTGTTTGTTTTTTAGTGCAGACTTTGGAACAACCAGAGGCAATGTGTTTGTGGACCTCAGGGAACAGGTCAACACATATGGGGTTAAAGGTTCTGAGATGCTGTGATTAAAAAGAACAGATTAGTGAAATCCAGGTGAGATGAGATAAGGCATGAATAACAGTTTCTAATGAGACGGCGTCTCCTGTGTGAGGGGTCTTTCTCATGTCTGAGCCCATTATCTCACAATCTGTCCACATCCTCACAGCTTCAGCCACTTAGTTCACCACACACACTACATGCCACGAAAGACGCTTCACGCTCAGCCTCTGCAGACTGTTCTTTGAAGGAAGTGTCTCCAGAGCTGAGACAGAACAGGGAGGGAAGCGGCCTATTAAAGCAGCTTCCTAGTTGTTCTGAGGCATTCTGGGAAGTGTAGGAAGCCACTAACTACCAGGCTGAAAAAGATCTACATTAATAAACAGGCTGGATTATGAAACCCAGTGTGCGCACAGAGACACAACCACAGTGTGAACAAATGATGCAAGAGGCGTCGTCAGCGGCACCGTTTCAGACATCTGCAACTCTTCAGCATCAGTGGGGCGGAACCAGCTCTGCTATTGGTCAGAAGGAGAACAGATCCCCACCCTGGGGACTGACACCACACCCAGGGCCCTGTGTGCGCGTTTGACTTGTGTGTATTGTCCAGCATACGCTCAGTTGTGTTTCTTCATCTTGTTGTTGGTGAATGAACCTCTGCCTGTAGATTCTCAGAACTGGTGAGCTATTGTTTGACCTTTTAGAGCACAACTGTGTTGTTGGTTTGTTTCGATTTCTAACATTTTTGTGATGTTTTCAACTGTTGTATTTTTGTTTTTACTCATATTTAGTTATTAACCTGAGTGTTGATAAAGCCAGAGACCTTGTGAACATGAACTTTGTTTTATATATGCAAGTTATTTATGTAAAGTAACATTTCTGCTACATTTTGTAAACAGATAAAAAGACCACAGAGATGTGTGACAAAATGAATTTCACTGTTTCACTTTAGTACTTTGCAGCAGTGAGGTGGTTTTATGAAGCATGACTCTTGTTTGGTTTCATTTTGGAGTCATTTTATCAATTCAGTATGTGAGACACTAGAGGCACTGTGTCCTCTGTTGTCCCCTCAATGACCGTTCTTTGGTTAAACTTGATACAACCGATTGTTTTGCAAAAAAATGTCACTGTAATGCTTCAGAGACAGATGATGAGGTCAGCATATCTTTAAGTATGTGGAGCTGCGTCTTCATTTGAAAGTCTGAAAGATGACACAAGTGGTTTTGTTTGTAAATTTTTACATCACTGCCAATTCAGGGTTTACTGTCAGGTCCCAGACAGAAACTGGTTTTACTTCATCTCCATGGAAATGCCACAGTTTGGCCTTTGCTTTTTTTTTTCTCTGTGCAGGTTGACATCAGCATGAGCCGTTACATAACTCCGCGCCCTGGTGTTTCAATGACGACTGGGACTCCTCCTCCATACTCAGAGCTTGTGACCAAGATTGGGTCAAGGGGTATGTGGATGTGTGTGATTCCTTTACAGGAAGAGTTCAGTATTTTGGGGAGACACTCTTATTCTGCCTGTGGTGGATGAAAGCGCTGATTCCACTCTCTTGTCTATACATTAAATATGAAGCTACATCCAACTGCTTGTTAGCTTAGCATAAAGACTGGGACCAGGAAACAGCTGGCCTGGACTTGGGGTATGAGTACCTACCGAAAACAGTCAACTCTGTACCCAGCTGCAGAACTGCAAACTACGCAGGTGACCAAAACAGAGTAAATAATGTTGAAATCTACCATTTTATGCCAAAAGATTGAGAAAACATTTTCAAATGATTGAGTGTTTCTTATCATTGTGCACCAGTATTTTTAGATGTGACATTTCTTTTGTTTTAAATGCTCATACTGACGGTTTCTTCTCTGATCCGAGTAAAAACAAAATGCTTTGATCATAATTTACATCATTATACGACACTGAGACTCCCAAAGGAGAGAACTGTAATAATCACAGTTTGTGTCACAACTGATTAAATTAGAATCTTTTTCACTTTGGTAGAATTTGTATTGGTATGCAATCAAAGAAGAGAGTCTAGATGTTAGCATACACACAGTTTTGTTGTCTTGTTGAGATGTGTGTGTGTGTTTAGCGGGGAGTGTCTTATCAGCCCGGTGTCAGAGAGGAGCATGGGAAGGAGTGAGGGTGACGCCTCGGGGGTCTGTTGCTGTGGAGATAAGAGCTGACTCGCCGATACCCGCTGGCCCAGTGTTTCCACAGCAGGGCCAGAGCCAGGCAGGACTGAGCAGCCAGGGACCTGCGCATAAAAAGCCAGGTCTTAGTTTAACATCTGAAAAACAGGATTATTCCTATAAGACTCTTTTCAGGTCCCTTCAAAGACATTAGGACATGAACCACATGGACAACTGGCACTGAAAGGAATAAGTGAATTTACTTTGAGGCTGTAAACTGCTGAAACGAACCCTTTGGACTTAACTGAAAGACATAAGTTAGAATCCTTCACTTTTACTGCTACTCAAAAACGTAAGCATTATGTAAGTCTCTTAAACTTCAGACTGTCAGCGTAATAGGAATAGTTTATTTGCAGCTGAATTTTGTAGGATATGATGTTACAGCACCTTGTTGCATACTGTATGTGTGCAGACAACAAGAATCAATCTGACATTGATTTGATTTACAATCACTGCCTAAACCTCTTCACTACACCTGTCTCCCTCTAACATAACTTGTCTTTTGTTTCCTTTTGCCTCATCCAGATGTGTCTGTTTGGACACTGTATCAGGTTATTGTTCATTCATGCCATTCAGTGGTGAAACAGCAGCTGTCTGTGGGTATTTCACCCAGAAAATGTTCTTAAACTGGCCACTAAATTGTATTTACAGTAAAACAATAGCATCAGAGTATTTTAATTTAAAAAAATGCTGCATCTTATAACTTTGTCACAGAAAAAATCTCAATTTTACTAAATATTAATTTTACAATAATGTGTCATCTGACCAGTAAAATGCTATAAGTTCTTAAGCAAATAACATTTTATTTTGTCAGTGAAGCACAAATGATTTGTTATTCACTAGTATTTTAAACAAGAGGGTAATGGGTATAAGCCCCGACCAACCCGGGGCCTTTCTGAATCTGCATGTTCTCCCTGTGCCCACGTGGGTTCTCTCTGGGGACTCCAGCTTCCTCCTACAGTCCAAAGACATGCAGCTTAGGTTGATTGGCGACTCTAAACTGCCCGTAAGAGTGTGTGTGTGACAGTGTGTGGTTGTTTGTCTACACGTCAGCCGTGTGATAAACTGTGATACCCCGCCTCTCGCCCTGCGTCGGTTGGGACTGGCTCCAGCCCCCCCACAACCCTATAGATAATGGATGGATGGACTAGTGTTTTTAAAAAAGTAGGAAAGTTTAGGGTTTACAGAGTTTAGTTATTTCAGAACAAAAATAAAATATCAGGTATGTCGAGTTAACAAACCACAGCTCTTGTTTCATTTTAAAAACCCTTCATCTCAAAATATACTTAAAATTTTCTGGTTTGTTGAAATATGTCGGTGATCACTCATCATTTCATGTACTTAAATACATCCGGTGGCTGTTTTCTTGCTATGTGACAAAAACAGAGACTCCCTCGGTGGTTGTTCTTTATTGCCGGATGTTCATTTTTTTCCTCATTAATGTACACACAGCACCCCATATTGACAGAAAAACACTGAATTTTTGACATTTTTGCAGAATTATTAAAAAAAGAAAAACTGAAATATCACATGGTCATAAGTATTCAGACCCTTTGCTGTGACACTCATATATTTAACTTAGGTGCTGTCCATTTCTTCTGATCATCCCTGAGATGGTTCTACACCTTCATTTGAGTCCAGCTGTGTTTGATTATACTGATTGGACGTGATTAGGAAAGCCACACACCTGTCTATATAAGACCCTACAGCTCACAGTGCATGTCAGAGCAAATGAGAATCATGAAGTCAAAGGAACTGCCTGAAGAGCTCAGAGATAGAATTGTGGCAAGGCACAGATCTGGCCAAGGTTACAAAAAAAATGTCTGCTGCACTTAAGGTTCCTAAGAGCACAGTGGC